GCCCGCCGAGGGGCCGGGCTATAAACGCGGGGCGGGGGCGCTGCCGCCCCCTGCCCGGGCCCCCCCCGTGCCCCGGGAAGGGAATGAACCCCAAACCCGGCATTTCTGCGTCACACAAGCCGGGTAGACCCGCTTTTGTCTTGAAACATATTTAAAAGTGATTAATAAACGGTTTCTCGCTGCAGTTTAGGGACCAACAACAATCGTGTCAACATAATCAAAGCAAACACGGAATGATTGATGGGAAATCATTAGTTTTAAATTTTGCTTTCAAAAGCCCCCCCCTCTCAGGGGTCCGCGCACAAGAAAGCACAAGCGCCTGCAATTACCACGCTAAAAGCCAGGCTGTGCCTGCCGATAATCACGTTGCTATATGCATTGCCCTTTCCATATTATCAATGAACCACATGGGGAGCTGCTCTTTTGCAGGTCTGAGAGAGCAAAGCTCTTTTCTGCAGCTGATGAGCGTGGAATGGGGACATGGCAGCCGGGCGGGGACAAAGCCCTGGGCGCTGCTGGGCGGCACATGCCGGGGTCTGCACCACATTGTTCCCCCTGGGCGCCCGCGGCCACCAGGGCTCCAGGGCCATCTGCTACCCTGTGCTTAGCAGCGCGTTCTCACATTGCCTGCAAACGCACAAGGAAAGAGAAGCATGTTTGTCCGTTGCGTTTCTGCGAGTAGGGCTTTGCCTTCAGAAGAAAATGTATTTGGGAGAGGAGATACCCTGAAATCAGGGTTTTAGCCCTCAAGTGTCTAACACTGGACTTCCTCAATCTTGTTTGGAGCCCCACACAACCACTTTGCTTTTCATTCAACAAATACTTTACATTTTTACTTCTATATATCAATTAGAATTTCAGTCTTCACTTGCACTTTTCTAATATCCGGTGTTTTTCCCCACATATACCTGCAGTGTAAGTTTGGAGACTTTACCCTAAAGCTTGCCTCAAGTTGGTGTACTGTTCCCTTCAGCAAGTTCTAAAAACATTTAAAAATGCATTAAACCCAGATCTTGTATTGACATTAATGCCACTGATCCTCCAAGCTCTGTGAAACTATTGTTCTACCCATCTAAGGAAAAGCCTGCTGAATATCTATGCTCTGACCCCATCTGGAATGGAAAACAACACACAAATAGTCTTTAAAAGGTTGGATTGTGGCATAAAATAGGAGCTAAGAGGCCAGAGCCCATTCTCTCTTTTGTGCAAATGAGACTGGGGAAGAGGAAAGGACTTGGGGAGGGAACTGACACTATGATAAAGCGGCCCCATAGGAGGATTTATTCACTTCCAAAAGCCCCAACTAACCCATCTGCTGCCATCGGGAGAAAGCATTGAGCCACTTGATCTCTGCGTGTCTTCCAGCAGTTTCCCCTTTCTGGATGTGTATTTTGCTGACATGCTGAGCACCCTGTTAGGGCCACCTAACACCAAGACCTCTCCCGTCAAAACTCTGAATTGGAAATTCTACCCTTAGACTAAACAAAGAATGCGTATCAAAGATCCCAAGTCACTGACACCTGTGAGAACAATCTAGACATTTCAAATGCTGTTGAAGCCCAAGATTTTTAAACATGTCTATTGCAAAGCTATAAAACTCATCTTTTCCCCAGGGGTGAACAGCTCAAGGAGAAGGATGAACCAGCAGTGGGCAAGCAGCTGGTGAGACATCTTACTAGTTTACCAAACAGCATGAGTTTTCCCTCTGAATGATATTACCATGTTGTCTAGAAATACTACCATGTACCTGGGGTTTGAAATGCTTGGAGACTTTGCAGCAGGGATCTCAGGCAGAGTCACAGCTGCAGTCTTCAGCAAAATACAACCCTGTTCTCAAAATAACCAAGGTGCTCACAGTGCAGCCCTCTGAAAGCCAGGCAGTTATCATCGCTAGATTGTTACTAGAGTTGAAAACTCACGTTTGCTTTAAGGAAGAGAAAAACCTGAATTTAAATATTTTAATCCATACAATTTAATCTACAGAGAAATACAGTACAAATAACAAGACAACAAAAAGATGCATTAGGAAATTCAGTAGCAGTCAGTGCTGTGAAAAATCGGTATTTATAAACTTCTGTGAAGAATATGGAGCAGATACTTCTCAAAGGAGCCTTCTGAGAGCCCAAGTCACAAGGACAGGCCTTGATGCAACTGACTGCAGGCAAGTTTCACCTGTGTTTATGTGCAATACCACTACAGACCCAGCTGGAGTTCTGGGATTTCACTGACGTTACAGCTTCTTCCCGAGTACACAAATAATGCACATCATCCATATGTAACTATTTGAGTGAACACTACAATCACAGGGCCTCTGGTATTACCACCTGCTTTAAAAATACTGGATCAAGCCCATGAGGGTGCAAACAAAAGTGGGTTTTTATGAGACATTCCACAATCACACTTCTGGCCTATGCAGCAAATTAAGAACACACTTCTCAGCTTTTATGACTAAGAGCTTTACAGTAACACCTCCTTGTCCTCTCACTTCTGTCTGCCTTATTTTTTAAAAAAACAAAGGAAAAACAATTTGGGATTTGAAAGCATCATGTAATGTCAAGAAAAAACATGAATACATTTTGACTCTAAACATTTCTACTGCAGGTCCAGTATTACATTGGCTGGTTATTTCTTTGCAAATGCAATCTCAGCTGTGAGTGTGCAGGTTTGCTCTGCGTTTGTGTTCTGAGGAGAAAGACAGGAATGGTTATATTAGGGCAGTAAGTAACACACATCTCAAACTGCACCATAAGGAATATCACTCCTTCTGTGGGAAAACTAAGAAAACACTGAATCCCACATGTCACATTTCTTGGTTGAAAAAAACACTAAGATGTTATAAATTGGACTTCTTGATCTATCACTTGTGTTTGAAGCTCATTTTTTACCTATTTAGTGCAACTTCAGAATATATGCATAAACACAGTCAGTACAAACCCCAAGTCACAGCACCACAGTATTTCCAAGCTATTTCCAAGTTTAATTTTTTTTTTTTTAAACTGTTAACATGCTGGTATTTTCTTGTAAGTAGTTACTACTAAATTAGAGTTACAGCTCCTAAAGTAACATTTTTACAGTATTCTTATCACTAGTTACTAAATAACTACTATACATATTGAAGTTACAAGCTAGAAAAATAAAAATCCATTCTGTTTAACTATAAAAATCCTAGAAAGACAAGATGGCTGGAGGTACTCTAAGCATTAAAACAGTTGGTAGCAGACACAGTGGCTTTTGAGGGATGTAAACTTTGAAGATAGAAAATGCAACAAACTCACAATGTAACTTCCCACATACTCTTAAAGAGAAAATTACTTTTATGCTTAAATCTACAAACAAATGAAACAATACAACAAATAAATTACATAGCAAGAAGGGTACACAGCACAGCAAACAGGGCAGTATTAACCAGAAACAAAAAAATTGAATACATTCATACTTTTGAACAGTTAAGGGCAGCATCCTCAGCTAATGTAAATCAGCATAACATCACTAGGTTTAGTCAAGGCATGTGGCTTTACTCCAACTACAAGTCTCTCCCTGAGATGCCCAAAACCTGAACTGGGTATTCAGCACTCTTAGTGAGACAAATTTTGATCATGGCATGCCTTTAGAACTGTGGCCAAGACAGAACTGATATACACAATGTGTAAATTCTCTTAATATACCAAATTGCTAAATGAACAAGTGGTCTCTGTTGTCTCATTCCTGTATTCAGGAAGCAGCTATCATTTCTCAGAAGAAAAGTCAGAGCATTTTTAGAGAAGTGGTCAACATTCAACAGGAGCAGCAACAGGAGTTATACTACCAGTATTTTTAAATCTGAAGATATGCTAGTTTATTCCAAGCTGAAGGGTCAAATCTATTTTCCAAAAGGAAGAAAAGCACTAGTAGTTGGTATGGAATACAGAACAAAAAAAGGATTTTATAAGTTAGAACACATGCAATGATTCCTAAGTGTCTTATTCTCTTACTTATAGATTAACTAGGTTAAGTGGTGCTGTACCAAAAAGCATTTGCTGCCAAGTAAAAAAAAAAAGTATTAACACATTGATACCATTATGCTGTTCACAGCTCAGGTACAGTGCTTTAAATTCTTTTTTTCACCA